ATGAATGAGACTGCCTGCCCGTCCCATTGTTGAGCAGTTCTGGATGTTAATTCTTTTTTATAAGACTGACTGCTGCCATCTTGTCTGAAAAATACTTTTAAGGGGGAGGGGGGAGTTCAGCAAAACTAACTGACTGACTTTATATACAATATTTCACACTTATAATTCCCTTTCCCCAACCTCTTCAGAGAAGTGGGGAATTGCTTCTTTTGGGCTAACTATGGCCATTGCAATTTTGCAGCATGAATGAGCAAGCATAGGACCAAAAAGAAGAGATGAAAAAATTCACTTCCCTCCTTTCTTCAAAGAGGTGGAAGGAATATGGATGTAGCATATTGAATATGCTGTTGGACTCTGTTAATGTATTGGTTAGTTGTGCCAAAATGATTTTTTTCTTTTTTTTATGCTTTGTTACAAGTGACGACTTGATGGGGAGGAGAAGGGACATAAGAAATAATATTTTGTAAAGTTGTTTTGTAAAAACAAAAAGTATCAATAAAAAAATTTAATTTTTAAAAAAGAAAACTCTTTTTGTTGTTGCACTAAAAATTCACTTCCCTATAGTTTCCACCTAATTAATTTCCTCAGAGCAATACCCAATTTCATCTATGGGGAGGAGAAAGAAAGAATGCTAGAAGGAAAAGAAGATGGCTTGGGGAAATTATTGAACAGAGGATCCACATCACACAATTGAAGGGATTAACAGAATTGTAAATAGAATGGAGGAGGCCTTCAGACATGGAGGGCTGAGCTCAAGAGATAATACTGGAAGACATTGACTAACAGGGTAATCATTGACTTTGCAGCAACCAGGGGAGGTGGATGGTGCAATATTATAATACCTATCTTGCAGATTAAGAAACTGAGTGAAATGATTTGTCCCTGGTCACAGTAAATGTCAGAATTAAGATTTGCCTGCAGGTCTTCTGACTCTATCCATGTGCAACTCTTTTGCATGTTATTTATCAAGGGAAGTTGTGGAATGGTGTACTGTGCGGTAGAGGTTCAATCTAGGTAAGCTCTAAGGTCCCTTCTCACTTTGATATACTATGATTCTTCTCCCTATCCTGATTCATCCCCTAGCAAAGTTACAGTGACCATAATTCTTGAACCAAGTACACATTGTCTGACAAAGGATAACTCTTTTGCAAAGCTTCTACTTTTTCCCCCTGAAAATTAATCCAGGCTCAGAATATCCAGGACATACAGTGACTATAAGCATAAGGCCCTGCATAGGTTGGTGGGTGTCCAAATTGTGACACTCGGTGACTAGAAAGATTCTCCATCTCTTTATGATTTTTTCTCTTTAGGAGTCTTTCTGTGGTTGCCCTGATATTCAGTCCAGTCCTCAACTCCTGACTCCCATTGCCTGAACCTCTCTGCCATTCTCTCTCTCTCTCTCTCTCCAGTGAAAGTGGTACTATGAACTCTCTTGGCATCCCATTCCATTGCCTTAAGGCTCCTCAACTTCTTCCTTCAATTTACCCTAAGGCTCTCTGACAGCTCAGGAGTAATTTCCTTTTGCTCTGATTTCAATGGAAAAGTTTGTCAGGGACCCAAAAAATGTGCTAAAATAATTTCCTCCCCAATCTTCAGTCTTCCCTTCTCCAAGCTAAAGGATTAAAACTCCTGCCTCTTTTAGCTATACAGTTTTCCCCTATTTCCATCAACTTCCTGAATTACCTCATCTCCTTTCCCAGTTCTCCAAGCCCAAGGCAGAGGCAAGGGGAGGATTTATTTGGAATTCATTGAGAGGACAGATTCTGCATGCCCATACACACACAGTTATGTGCTCCAACTCCTCACCCTCCTTATCTTCATATTCCATCCATTACCACATCCTACTCCTTCTGTCCCAGTGGTATCACCCATTTCTCCCTCCCTCTCTTGCTCCTTCCACTAAACTCTGATTCAGGTCCAGGTCATCACCCATATAACCTGTCTAAACTTGCCCCTCCCTACTCTGCCTGTCTCTCTCAACCTACGAGTCAGGCCATGATGCCATCATGTTCTCCTCCTCTGCCACAGTTGTCTTCTCCTTCTCTCCCTCACCCTCTCCCTTCCCAGACTCTCCTCCACTCTATCTCCCTAATCTAAGCCTCTACTCATCTCCAAGAGCCTCCACTGCAATCTGACTGGTTTCATCGTTCTCCAAGAACATTTGCCCTGTTCTGGTTTGGGGGACACCACTCCCCTAGTCTGGAATGACTTTCCCTCCCTCTCCCCTTTCCACCTTTCCCAAGCTTGCCAGTTTTTCAAGTGCCAGTCCAAATTTCACTTCCTTTGTGAAGCTGTTTTGTACTTTCCCAGCCCATAAAGGTCTCTCAGGTAGCACTTAAGTACTTCTATTCTGAAACCTACATATTGTTATTTAATTTTTTATGTGAATGTTTTGATTCCCCAGTGAGGTGGTAACTTCCTTGAGGGCAAAAGCCCAAAACTTCTTTGTGCTTTCACCCACCCCCACCTAGCAGAGTACACAATAAATCAAGTATTCTCTAGAATTGATTGGTCAGGGCCTCTTTCATTTACTTGTTGGTGACAAACTCTGGCACACAACACCTCCTCCCAATTTCTCTCCTTCTCTTGCTGCAGGCCAAGCGATCCTCCAAACTAGGTGTGCCTTCGAGGCTAACTGGCTTAACTGAAGTCCATTTGGCCAAATTCCCAGCGTGAGCCAGGTACACCACTCCATCTCCCCACCCCACAAACCAAGTGTTAAGGACTCCAGGCTCAGGGAAGCGTGGCTTGGGCAATTTAGGAACAAAAAAGGCAAAGGGTTGGGATAGTAAGAGGAGACCACCCTGGAACTATCAAAGAGAGAGGAAACAGAAACTAAGCAAACGCACTTAGGGACAGGAGGTGCCATAGTGGATAGAGCACCATGCCTAGATTCAGGAAGATGAATCTTCTGGCCTCAGACACTTACTAGCTGTGTGACCCTAGGCAAGTCACTTAGCCCTGTTTGCCTCAGTTTCCTCATCTGTAAAATGAGCCAGAGAAATGGCCAGACCCTTCCAGTATCTTTGGCAAGAAAACTCCAAATGGGGTCACAAAGAGTTGGACATGACTGAACAGCAACAAAAGGACCTAGATGTTGGGGGGAGCTAAGAGGGGAGGAAAGGACATGGTCCTAGAGGAAATCTTGTCACACATGAGCAAATATGATGTTGTATAAATTACATAAGCGTAATTCTAAATGGCACTTATTAAGTATACCTTCCTCTACATGCCTCTCCATCCATCCCTTCATCTCCAGAGGCCCATGCCTCCCACTCTAAGTAACAAATGGAGGTTAGTCAAGAACACATCAGACCTGGACCCTATTCTACAGTTCATTGCTGTTCTTTTCAGTCATTTCCAACTCTTCATGAGCCCATATGGGGTTTTCTTGGCAAAGATACTAGAGTGATTTGCCATTTACTTCTCCAGCTCATTTTACAGATGAGGAAACAGGGTAAAGTGACTTGCCCAGGGTCACACAGCTGATAAGTGTCGCTTTGAACTCAGTCTGGTGGCTCTATTCACTGCACCACCTAGCTGCCCCCACTACAATCCATTAACCTCCTGTGAACTTGCTGGAAAACATACGGGAAGACCTCCATCCTCCACATCCATCTACCAGGATAGCCACTTACCTGCCCATGAAAATTCCCCACCCTCAGACATACATCCACCCCCAGTATAGATATAGCTATGTATAGACATAGATGCATATACACACCCCAAAATAAAACCACATATAGACACAAGATAGTATTCTTCTGGAGGGCTGGGACCCTGTCTTTCCACAAATAAATGGCAGGCATTCAAAATATATTTGCTGAATGAGTTAATATAAATGTATATGTATACACATACACAACACCTTCATCTCCTGCCTACCTTCTGTTGTTCCTTTCAGACTTCAAGTCAAAAACTGGCAATGGGAGATAATGGAACTCAAAAAGTTTGAAAAAAAAACCCTGGGTCCCAAGGATGCACATATCAGAGGGAATGAAAGGGTCATGGGGGAAAGGGAGCCAGGGAGACGGAAGGGTCAGTGAGAAGGCAGAATCTGAAGCGGATGAAGGGGATCAAATAAGATTACTATCATATGAAAAGGGACAGAGGAGCCAAGAGAGAAAGAGGAAGACATAGGAAGAACTTCCTCCAGACTAAAGGGTCCAGACCTCTGGTCTGGGAAGCAACACTGTAAGTCTTTACAGAGTAATACTATAAATTGGGATCAGCCACTTCCAAGTCAATCCTATAGCATGGGCATTTGGGCCAGGCAGGCTTTAAGAAAGATGCTTTCTTGCTCTCCCATTCACCCTTGACTATTTACCTTCCTTTCCCTTTTCTTCCTCTCTTCCACCAGTGGGCTCACTAATTGCTTTGCAGTCCCAACTCCACCCACTTTTACTGTCCTCTAAAGAAAACCACTCCCCAAAGGAGGAAGATAGGCCAGCTTCTGCCAGTCACCACCACCTACCTCCAGTTCCTACCACCCTTTCCCATATCAGTTTCTCTCTTTTGAGGTTAGAGAGACTCTCCTTCTCTCTTCCTGGTTTGGGGGGTGAGGGGAGGAACAGGTGTGTGACAGAGTTTCTATACCCTGTTCAATCTTGCATGCACATTTACATAGTGCTTTAAGGTTTAGGGAATACAACAAGTATATGTGGTAGGGAATTCAAGCCTTTTTACAGATGAGGATACTGAGGCTCAGAGAGGTTAAATGACTTGTCCAAGGTTACACAGCTAATGAGCATCAGAGCCAACATTTGAACCCAGGAACTCTGACTGCTAACCAGAACAGGTTGCAAGGAGAGTCAGAGTAATAGGTATATGGTAGGCAGGGCTTGGCTCAGGCTGAGACTGGGGTCTGTCTAAATGTTGAGTTCTGCCTGACATCTGTCACTCCACTTGGGAATCAGGATTTATTAATGGCAGAGGGGGTCCCTCTGCCTGATGGGATGAAAACACTGTGATTTAACAAGCGAGAGGAAGGGCCGACTGACCTGTATGGGTTGAGAGTGCAGACAGTGACTGCCGGGAAGACGAGCTTGTCAGAATTGAGGTTGATGTTGAGACTAACCGGGTAGCTGAAATATTGCCCAAACAGCAGGCCAAATTGCCAGTACATCATACCGAAGGTACAGAGCCACAACACAGCCCAGAAGGCTGTCTTCATTCGGTTGTGCTTGGAGCAAACCAGTCGGATGGCACCATGGATGGTGGTATTGTTGCAGAAAAACTGGAAGAGCTCTCGGTAGGAACGGTGGAACTCAATCAGGCCTTCTTTTTCCTCCTCCTGGGAGCCTCCTGGCTCGGAGTGCTGCCCCTCATGCTCAACTTTTTCCTCCTTCATGGGGCCTTGGATTAGAAGTAGATAATGTGAGTCAAGGCTAGGCTATTGACTTGCCTATCTCCATTATCATCAACCTAAACTCTTCTTTTCCTTTCCCCAGGCTGGGAGTGGGGCCAAACCTCCTGGAGTGGGGGGGAGGGGGGGGCAGGAGAGAGGACAATCCCACTCCTCTCCACCTACCCACCCTTCCCTGCTTTTCCTCTGGAACCAGCTAATTTGCTGGTTTGGGCGGGTTAGTGCCGGTCCTAGAGTATCTCTGTCTTCCTTCTCTGTCAGCTGTTTTCTGCTCTTTAGAGTGAGCGCTTTTCTAAAGCTCTCTGACTAATTTTTAGTTTCTCACTTTTGTCCCAGGTTCTCCTGTTTCTATACTACTCATTCCAGAAGGTCTTTCTCTATTATTTTTTCCTGTCTCTTTCACTCCAGGTTAATCTGTCTCTATCTCTCTGTTTCTGTCCCTCTGCCTATCTGTCTCTTGCTCACTGTTTGTCTCTTTGCATCTCTTCCTTTCTCTCTCTCTTTCTCTCTCTGTCTCTTCCTCCTTCTCCCTCCACCCCACTTTACTCTGTCATATCTCCACCTCTTCCTCTGTCTCTGTGTTACCCACTCAGGCTTTGTCTCAGCTCAGCTTTCTCGAGCCTCAGGGACTGTGAGTTCCAGGAGGTCTGAGTTGTCTCCTGCTCCCTACTCCCAAGCCGTAGTTAGCCAGGGACTGGTTTCTTTCCAGTTGAATCTGGCAGCTGGGTCTCTCCTCCCCCTCACCTGACAGGTGCAGTGGCCTGGCCAGCCAGCCCGCCCAGGATGGAAGTGACAGAAGCCTTATTAGCATCTCAATTAAAGGTGAGCCGGGCAGGGGGGGAGGAGCAGAGGAGGAGCTTGGGCTGGTGGGGAGGAAGGTGGGCACGGAATAGACAGCCCAAAGAACTGAACACTGTAAGAGAAGCCTGGGGGACACCAAGAGAGTCTGGGGGTAGGGACAGTGAGATGAGTGGACCACCGGGAAGAAAAGATAAGCACAGGCAAAAAAGAGACAGAGATAAAAAGAAAGGCAGAGAAAAAGAAGATGAACAGAACAGGAGCTTTGAATTGAGGGTGGCCAGGGACAGAGAAAGTAAATGGGGATAAGAGACATATAATAGCATCATAGGATTTAGAGCTGGAAGAGACTTCATCAATTATATCATAGAAGCCCTTCATTACATCTTCAAAACATCTAATACACCCCTTCATTTTTCAAATGAGGGCACTGAGACTCAAAAGAGGTAAACCAATTTGCCAAGGTCTCACAGATGGCAAGGGACTGGGAAACTCAGGGAATCAAGTTGCTGGAGGGGAGAGAACAGAGAGAAAGAGGAAGAAGGTACAGAAAATAGAGGAAGAACAAAGGAATTAGGAAAGGAGGTAGGGTAAATAAAATGGGGTAAAAGGTGAACCAAGAGTGATGATGGAATAAGAAAGACAGACATGACAGAGTGATAGCTGGAGAGATTAGTCATTAGGAGTACATGGGATTAGAGGGGAAAGGAGACCACAGCAGGTAAGTGGCTCCCCAGCTTCTAGAAACAGGGCAAGGAAAGAGTGAGACATAATTTGCCTTCAGGAATAAGAAGGAAGGTTCCCTTAGTAAGGGTAGAATGGAAAGAGCATCCTTTAGGGTGGGCTGCTTGTTCAATCCTGCCTGGGGCAAGGGAGAGGAAGTATTAGGAGAATGTGCCTGTCCCTCCCTGCTTGTTGATGCGGGTAACCCTTCCTTGCTCCACCCCGCCACTCCCCTTTGCCCAGACCATCTCCTTCCCTTCTCCCTCCTCCTGCCAGACACTGGCTTTGCTGGGAAGGAGCCAAGGTGAGGCTTGGGGGATGGGTGAGGGCTCAGGACATTCTGTTCTTTTTTGCACCATTGACTGCCAGGCTAGGAATGTGTAATATCCACTGTTGTGATCAGAAAGGGACAAGAATGTGGATACGGGGAAGTGAGCCAGGATCAGGGCAGAACCAGGGATAAGCAAAAGACAGGACCATAGCAGGGTGCTAAGAGAAGGCTCAAGGGTGGGCCAAGGAGAGAGGAGAGGCACAAAGGATGGCAAAAACAGGGTGCAGACAGAGCTCGGGACACACAGTGGGTGAAGACAAGGCATAGACAGAGCAAGGGGTCACAAGGCTTAGCCTGTTCCAGTACCCTGAACTAGATAGAGGCTATGGTGGCAGGGAGTGGACAGAGCTGACCTGGGGAGCAAAGAGGAGGCTCGGGCAAGGAAAACAAAGCTCTTTGGGCTGTTGTTGCATCTTCTCTGCTCTTATCTTATCTTATGCAAAGAATTTGACCAGCCAGAAGGTAAATAGCAAATGGTCCTTTGGGAGGAGGGGCAGGTAGAAGGTGGGTAGGGCTAGGTTAAGGAGGGAAGAAATGTTTGAGCAGCCAGAAAGGAGGGGCAAAAGAGAGGAAAGGAAGGTTGTTGTACATGCAGACAAATGGAGTTTGGGATTTGGGGTTAGGAAGAAGTTTAATCATCTGATACAGATGTTCTTAATGTGGGGTACCTGAATTTTTTAAAATAACTATGTCAATAGAATTTTTTCCTTGGCAATACTGTGTATTTTAGTTTATTCGTGTAAAAATATTATTCTGAGAAAGGGTCCATAAATTTGACCAGACTGCCAAAGGGATCCGTGACATGAAAAAAGTTGAGAATCTTTTATTTAATCCAACTCCCTCATTTTAAGGATGAAGGGACAGCGATAAACAAATGTGCAGGTAAACTCTTATAAATTAACTACCCCATCCTGGCACACAAACATACATGGACTTGCATGTAACATGTTAAATTATGCAACGGGACACCAATAATCTAATATATTTACATAGGAGAGGCAGCATGGTATACTGGTTGGAGAGCCAACCTTAACTCCAGCAAATGTCCTGTCTGTGATATATTGGCTATCACCCTGGCAGGTCATTTAACTTCCAGTGCTCTAAACAACACTCTAAGACTTTAAGTTGCAGAGAAGATGCCAATATGCATTAGAGAAGGTGACATTTTGCATTGACCAAGGGAATTTCCTTCCTGGGAGTTCCTTTCACCAGTAAAATCACATTATCTGGTCCCTAGCTCTATTTACATACAAGTTTTCTCCCAGAGATGTGGTCTTATTTCCCCTTTATGGCCAGCACTGATATCAAAGAGATCCCCAAGGATTTTAAACTTGGCACTTCTTTCTTATGAGAATACCTGATCACAATACCTCTATGAAGTTGGAAAGAGGTTGATTTTCCCCCTATTTTAATGATGAGGGAATCCGAGGCCCCAAATCACATAGTGAATTAGCCATGGAGTTAGAATTGAAAGCCAGATCTCGTGCATGTCCTTAGATATCTGTTATCTTTGCTATTCATTTCCTGCGCTAAACCAGTCACCAATCTGTGGTAAAATGATGCTACGGGTCTGACTCAACAAATGAGCAAAGAAGAAATAGGAAGAGCCGGCATCCCCAAGTAAACATGTGTTATTACATCAATACTTCCTCAATCCAGTTCTGGATCATCAGGCAAGGTATCTTTCTAAATCTTTGAACACAATCCCTATTTGATTCCTAGCTTGACCAGATATTTCCAGTAACCCCAGTTCTAACCCCAAATAAATCTGCCTGATCTGCAGAGTAGACAGCTGCCCAGCTGGTGCCATCTTTCATTTGCTCCCCATCCCCCTTAAAAAAAATACATGTCCCAACCCCACCCACCCCCCAAAAAGCATACACACCCCGGTCCCAGCCCCATCTGCTGACTGATACCTGGAATTCTAAAATTACAAGCTTACTCCTTTGACTAAAGTTGTGACGCCTGTTAAAATGCAAAAACTCCCCATAGAAGCCAAACTTAAGTTTCACCAATATATTTTAAAGTCCAGCTCAAATATCCTCTAGAGGAAGCCTTTCTGGATTTGCCCAGATGCCTCCAAAAGTGTGTCAGCTTATTTTGTACACACTTCTACATATACATGGTGTCTCCCCCTAGAGCAGAGAAGATGCCAATATGCATTAGAGAAGGTGACATTTTGCATTGACCAAGGGAATTTCCTTCCTGGGAGTTCCTTTCACCAGTAAAATCACATATCTGGTCTCTAGCTCTATTTACATACAAGTTTTCTTCCAGAGATATGGTCTTATTTCCCCTTTATGGCCAGCACTGATATCAAAGAGATAGGCCTGCACAACATATGGCCCATGGCTGCTTGCGGTCCACCAAAGGATCTCAGGCAGCCTGCAAAAAATGTAGAGGATGTAAAAGGAAGTAAAGATGTTTAAGCATGCTTTGTCCACGTCCTGCTCAACCCGTCTTCCATTATCACTATTGCACCCGTCATGTAACTTGGCGGGTGGGTTGCCACTGCACACTCTCCTGTTTGTCACGTGATCCTCAGCAAGGAGCCGTTGTTTGTCTGTAGTCTGAAAGGAGCTAGAGTCATATCTTTTTACTATGTTTTCAGTCATTGCTGGTGTTGAACTGGGACAAAGTTAGTGCAGCCACGCAGCTGACACCTGCGATGTATTTAGCGGCAACAAAGCGAGGGCTTCTTCCCCTGCCTCGCTACACTGTCGCCCTCCAAGTTACTTGATTGTCTGGCGCTCTCTCCAAGGTCAGACACTCAGTTCAGTATTTCTTTATGGGTGAGCAGTTGCTGGGGAGATTTTTTGGTTCTAGCATTAAAGTTTTTGGGGTGACTTTGTAAAATGGATGATAAAAAGAAACGGAAGATTGAATCAGAACGTAGTGTTTTTAATCTGGAGTGGAGAAATACATACCTGTTTACTTACACCAGAGGCAAAATATTTTGTTCTGTTTGCCAAGATGTTATAGCCATTCCAAAGGAATACAAGCTTTATCGCCATTTTGAATAAAAACATCCTGACATAAACAAATTGGACATCAATGAAAAACAAATGAAAACGTCCAAATTGTTGAAAAATCTCAGTGGGGGAACAACAGTTTTTCAAGAAAGTAAACTCGGGGGGCACCTACGTGGCACAGTGGATAGAGCACCAGCCCTGAAGTCAGGAGGACCTGAGTTCAAATCAGGCCTCAGACCAAACAGTTGGCACTTACTATCTGTGTGACCCTGGGCAAGTTCATTTAATCCCAATTGTCTAAAAAAAAAAGAAAGTAAACTCAGAAAATGAGGCAGCTACTTAGGTTAGTTTTCAGATTTCTAAAGAAATCTATTTCAAACATGATTCTGGAGTAGGATAAACTGCCGATAAGTATAATACATCCCATTAACTAAATGTAAACAGTAAGAAAATCTGAAAAATCTATTAAAACTTGAACCGCTCAGCAAAGTAATTTTTTAACATTAATGTGATTTCATGATAAATAAAAACTTAAGTAACAAGTGTAATTAATTGATAGTAATTGAAATTTCCCTTTGTTTAATATGGTTTATTTGCAAAATAGTTTAATCATTAATTATACCTTTACTTAGAAAGTGAGCCGATAAAAACCTATCCACAGCTGGAAGAAGTTTAGCCTGTTTTAATTTGGGCCCCTACCTACTGCCAAGTTGTGCATGTCTATCCTAGAGAACGCAAGCTATGGAGGATAAGGACTGTTTCATTTTTGCCCTTGTACCCTTGACTCCTAATAGTGCCTTCTTGTTGTTGTTCAGTCATGCCCAACTCTTTGTGACCCCATTTGGGGTTTTCTTGGCAAACATATGGGAGGGGTTTGCTATTTCCTTCTCCAGCTCATTTTACAGTTGAGGAAACTGAGGCAAACAAGGTTGTGACTTGGCAGGGTCGCACAGCTAGTAAGCATCTGAGACTGGATTTGAACTCAGGAAAATGAGTCTTCCTGACTTCAGGCCCAGTCCTCTTTGAACCATGGCACCCCTTAGCTGACCAGTAGTGCCTTAGTGGATGGTTAATAAATGCTTATGGATTAATTTATTACCAATGATTCAATTTTAATAATGCTTAATGGTTACAGTGTATTTTGCATAAAATACCTCTTGCTTAGTTCCCCTTCTCTCCCACTCCCCCCTCCCAAAATATCTTCCTCCATTACCTACTATTTTGCCTAAAATTCCACCTTTGAGCTCCATTTCTTTGGGTTAAGACATTGCCCTTGATAAATAGCCCTAGGAAGGATGATGCACTAAGGGGTGGTATTTATCAGGTATTTCTATTTTTTTGAGGCAGAAAAGGCAATCAGCGTTAAGTGACTTGCCTAGAGTCACACAGCTAGTAAGTATCTGAGGTCGGATTTGAACTCAGATCCTCCTGATTTCAAGGCTGGTGCTCTCTATCCACTGCACTACCTAGCTACCCCACAGCAGATATTTTTCAAGGGTGAGAGCTAGGAAACTCCTTGAGAGCTTGACTGTTCTTTGCCTTTCTTTGCATCCCCAGCATTTAGTACTGTGCCTGTGACCCATAGACAGCAGTTATTAAATGTTTATTGACTGACTAACTAACTGAAGGATGGAATTTTGATAGGAGGGGGAGAGGATCAGTAAGGAGTAATTTTAGAATATGGGAACTCTCTGGGGAAGGGCAGGGGGAAGGGAGGGCATTGAGAGAAGGGAATCTGAGAAGCTACCCAACCATAAAAGCGTAGAGCATTTGAAGGGAAGGTGGTTAGTGGGTCTGGAGAAAAATTACTTGACAATATTACCCACAGTCACCTGTTCTTGGTTCTTTCAAGTTTCAAGAGGTTCCCCGAATTCAGCCAGCTGACCCTTACCCACGTGTCTTTCATTTTCTCTCTCCTCCTCTCTTTTCTTCTGGTATGTCTTCATACCAGGTATGCCGGCACGGGATGGAGACGACAGGTGAACATGGGAAGGTTCCTCTAGGAATTGCCTATAGGCAGGAGCTACAGTAAAAGTCCCTAGCCCTTCCCTCCCTCATGCCCCACAGCTATTCCCAACACAGAACTGATTCTTTTCAGAGTGCCTAGTACTGTCCTCTCCTATTCAATCAAGGTTCACTAAGTGATAGAGGAGAAAGCCTTCTCACACTCACCTCTGGATTCACTGACCTCTCACTATCACATATCTCCCATCCTGTGACAGAGGTATTTTTAAGGTATTTTTATTCTCTCCACTCAAATACTGAAATGGATCCATGATCTCATCAGTTTGGATCTTCCCTCCAGCTATGTAGATCACAGACCATCCATGGCCTAGATTACATTATTTTTGCCCATATCCTTCAAAAAGGAGGTCTTCCTCTGCTTACTCTGACATCAAAAGGATACCAGAGGAGCAGATGGACTGTCTACATTCCTCTCTCTTACCACTGGACCAGTCCATCTTTTTCTATCATATATTGTTCTGATGAAATCCTTTATACCTGGTTGTCAAAGTTCCAGGTGCCTCTCCATTGCCAACCATACGATATTCATTTTCAATTCTTCAAAAGCTGTTGTATTCCACATCTTACAGCCATATGGCAACACTTTGTTTCAGGGAGAAGTTTAGGGTCATTAAAGAAGCAATGCAATTTCCTGAAAAATAATTCATCTTACTCCTCTCCACTTGTTTAATTCTGGGCCCAATGTCCATTTCTACGGTCTATTCCAGATTTATATATTGGTAGACAAGGCCTATAGGTTTCCATCCAACTGACAACTATATTTTAGGCAAGAGACATTCTTCATCCACTTGGTTTGTCTTATGTGGATGATCAGGTTTGAAAGATATAGCAATAGATATCAACAACTCTCCGATCATAAACAAGTGATATATAACATAGGGAGATGTATGCTTACCAAATATTATATCTTTCAGGTCCTGTATGGTTACCAAATATCTTCTAGGAGGCTCTGAAATGTTCTAGGGCTTGATGAAATCAATATAATGTCATCTGCAAAAAAGATCATCTGAAGGACTTGATCTTCAACAGGGAAACCCTCTTCAACTTGGACTCTATACTGAATGTTTTCCATCATATTGGCAAATACATTTGGTAAGCATACGTCTCCCTATGTTATGCTTCACGTGCTTTGTAAGTTCAGAGGTTTGTGGTATTGTTATGTCTTTCAAGGAACGGTGAATGATTTGGTTGGATGGACGCAGGCACCTTGGTGGAAGACAGCCTTTAAGGCAGTATTTTGCTTTTTAACAATCAACAATAAGAACAGTGGGATCTTGTATTTCCTACATCTTTCATTCAATTGTACATAGATCATAGTCATGCGCAGCACAGTGCATTAGGCTATATTTCTAGGGAATTTTAAAAAATGTTTAAGACAAACATTTATTAAATATGCAGTCATAAAGGACACATTTTTAGTAATCAATCAATGAACATGTTTTTTATTATGTGCCTACTATTTTCCATGTCTTATGCTACATACTAGGGATAAATACAATAAATAAAACTAAAATTTAACCCAATTTAAGTTTTTTTTTTTAATTAACCCATAGACTTTACTTTAAAAACACAAACTTTGCAAAGGGTCCTCCCCTCACCTCAAAAAATAGAACAACCTTTTCAGCCTTTCTTCCTTGGCTAAAAAGGTATCTTTCCAATCACACCATGCTCCTCTAGCCCCACACTTTGTTGTGAAGAGAAACTGGTGGAATTTAAGGACTAGTGACCAAAGACATAGTATTTTTTAAAAATTTATTTGTTTATTTTTAGTTTTCACCATTCACTTCCATAAGCTTTTGAGTTTTCAATTTTCTCCCCTTCCCTCCCCAAGACAGCATGCAATCTGATATATCAGATTATATTATATATCTATATATCTACATTCTATTTATATATATATATATTCTATATATCTGTTCTAATACATATATTACATATCTACATTCATATTAAACATATTTTCACATTTGTCATGTTGTAAAGAAGTATTAGAACCCATGGAAGGAACCATGAGAAAGAAGAAACAAAACAACGAAAGAAAAAAGAGATCAAATAGTATGCTTTGATCTGCATTCAGGCTCCATGGTTCTTTCTCTGGATGTGGATAGCATTTTCCATTGTGAGCCTTTTGGAGTTGTTTTAGATCCTTGCATTGCTGAGAAGAGCTAAGTCATCAAAGTTAGTCATCACACAATGTAGCTGTTACTATGTGCAACATTCTTCTGGTTCTGCTCACTTCACTCAGCATCAGTTCATTTAAGTCTTTTCAGGTTTTTCTGAAGTCAGCCTGCTCATCATTTCTTATAGCACAGTAGTATTCCATTACATCCATATACTACAACTTGTTTAGCCATCCCCCAACTGATGGCCATCCCCTCAATTTCCAATTCTTGGCCACCACTAACAGAGCTGCTATAAATGTTTTTGTACATGTGGGTCCTTTTCCTATCTTTATGATCTCTTTGGGATATAGACCTAGAGGTGGTATTGCTGGGTCAAAGGCAAAGGCATATGCTTTTAAAATTTTAAACATTTTGTCTTCCTTACCTATACCAACTAGAGCTCCAGGTTTACATAATATCCTAAGCCACAGAAACAAAATGGTCAGAGGAGTCAAAAGCAGGCAAGGAGACTAATAGATTTTTCCTAACCTAGCTACAACCAGCTGGAGTCCGTAGAGCAGAAGACAGAAAGTAGAACACCGGGAGGCAAAAAAAGAGGAGGGCAGAGAGCCAAAAAAGGAAAAGCACAATGGACAGGCAAAGTGTCACTCCAGAGAAATTTGGAAGAGAGTTGTAGGGAGCCCTTCCAGACAGTGCTGTGGCCAGATCACTGGCTGCATCCCCTTCTTCCTGTGTCAGATTCTCAAAGAAGTGGTAGAGGGGAAGTGAGCGAGAAGCAGAGGAAGGAAGCAGGAGGGTGGCAGCAGCTGCTGCGGGAATGGGAGTTCCCAAACACTAGAAAAGCCTCCCCCACCAGCAGCAGGATCTGGATCCAGAACAGTATCACACCACTGCGAGGGCTTCTCCACACTTGCCTAAGATAATGAATGGCAAAGATGCAATCCGCTATGCAATACTGTTTGCAGAAGTCTCGCTGCTCTCAAGAGGCTGCTAGGTGGCGCCATAGTGCATAGAGTACTGGGCTTGGAACCAGGAAGAATAATCTTCCTGAGTTCAAATCCAGCCTCAGACACTTATTAGCTTGTGTGACCCTGGGCAAGTCACTTAACTCTGTTTGCCTCAGTTTCCTTATCTGTAAAATGAGCCAGAGTAAGAAATGGCAAACCACTCCAGTATCTTCGCTGACAAAACCCCAGATAGGGTCACAAAGAGTTGGATGTGACTGAACAACAGCTGTTCCCTGATGCTGCCTCTTAAGTAGAGAACAAAGGTACATCCTTGATGCACGTAGCAAGTATCTTAGAGTACTATTTCCCCCTTACCCTTGGAGCACTACCAGTTGCCACTTTTGGTGACCACATGAAAATTTGGGGCATAGAGCAGGCTTCCAGCCACAAATGACTAAGCGATAGGTTGAATCCACTAATTGGGTACTAAGCTGGAACTTAAGGGATATGCTAAAGAGCATCCCACCCTGAGTTCTCCTTTCTTCCAGCTTCATACCCTAAGGATGGCTCTCCAAGGAGTCTGGAAGTTTGGGTGGGAGGTGCCTTCACCCCACCTAGCCTCAAGCCATGAACAACTGATCATGCTTCTTGTCATGTTTTTAAATTCTGTTTTAATCATTTTGTAATGGATGCTATGATTCTTTTGTGCTTAGCATTCCTTTTTCTGGGAGAATAAAGTCACAATTCATATTTGTACAGTTAATATCTTTTTTCTGTTCTCTCCCATCTTTTTTTTTTTTTTGAGGGAAACCTCAGACCAGCGCCAAAAGAAGATTTGTCTCCATGGTAGCCAGGGTCAAGGTGACTTGCCAGTGAGTGTGAGACTTTGGGATTTGATTGTAGTAGCCCATAACTGTAATCTGTACTGTGGAGAAAGCTGAGGTTGGTGGGTCCCCTGGGCTCCGTTCTGAGCTGCAACAGTACTGAAGCTGATGGGTATCCACGCTAAGTCACTCACCAACAAGATGAGTCCCTGGGAGCTGAGGAGAGTACCAATGATCAGTAGTGAGATCAGGCCCAGCCAAGATGGAAGACACATTCTAAAAAGGACAAGAGTAGGGTGGAAAGGGGTAGCTCCTGTGAATCCCAGCAATAGGTACCTCTAGCATTTATGTTGTACTCATTAAAAATTTTACATAAAAGGGGAAATAGTCAAAAATATTAGCTTGTTTATATATTTTTGTTATTAATAACAATTAAATGGTGCAGTGATTAGATAAGAGCACTGAATCTGAAGTCAGTATGACCTGAGTTCAAATCTGGCCTCAGACACTTACTTACTTATGTGACCTTGGACAAGTCATTCAGCCCTATCTGCCTAAGTTTCCTCCTCTGTAAAAATGGGGATAATAAAAGCACTTACCTCCCAGAGTTGTGAGGTTACAACTATATATTTATAAAATGCTTTACAACCAATCAACCAATATACCTACTACGTGCCAGGCCCTTTGCTCGGTGCTAGAGATACAAAAAATGACAAAAGACAGTCCTTATTCACATTCTATTATTTCTTTTTTTATTTCCTTAGGCAATGGGGTTAAGTGACTTGTCCAGGGTCACACAGCTAGTAAGTGTTACGTATCAGTCTGAGGCTGGATTTGAACTCAGGTCCTTCTGAATCCAGGGCCAGTATTCTATCCACTGTGCTACCTAGCTGCCCCACCTTGTTTGCATTCTCCATTTGCAAAAAACTATGGACAAGCAAGATACAGACAGAATAAATTGGAGATAATCAAGAGAGGAAAGGTGCTAGCATTAAGGGAGATCAGGAAAGTCTTCTTGCTGAAGGTAAGACTTTAAGTGAGACCTGAGGGAAGATAGGAGGGTGACACACGGTAAAAACACTCAGAGTTGGGCAATGGGGTGTTGTGTGCAAAGAACAGGAAGGAATGCAGTTTATATTTGATCCTGGGACAACAGAGAACACAGAGTGGCATGGTCAGACTTGTGCTTTAGGAAGATTATTAATTTAACAGCTGAGTGGAGGATGAATTGTAGCGGTGAGAGACTTGAGGCAGGGAGAAGAACCAGAAGGCTACTACAATTGTCCAGGTGTGAAGTGATGAGGGTTTGCACCAGGATGAGAGCAGTGTCAGAGGAGAGGAACATTTATGGTTTAATAGATGCAGACCTACAGAATATCTTGAGCCTGGGGTGGCCTTCTCTAGAGGACCCTCCCTGTTTTATTTTTCATCTTTGTATTTCCAGTTAATGAATGCTTGTTTGGTGAATTGAATTGAACCCTATGAGTTAGGTAGAACTGATAATATTATTCCTATTTGGTAAATGAAAAAGCTAAGACATGAAAGTCAAGGTCATTTAGAGGGACTAGAACACAGGTCTCTTAACTTTTCACCAAACCGACCCATGATACCTTATTTTAATTTCCCTCTTCCACGCGGCTTCATGAGTTTCATGTGCCTCTGTGACTTCTTTTGCTTTTCAAGGCTGCCCTCTAATGTTCATTTTAACCTGATTTTACCTGTACAAGTAGGGAAGGGGAGTAGGTTGGTGGTGTCCACTACCTGATAAAAAATTATTTGTTCCAATCTTTCAGTCTCTGTATACTCTAGCAGTGGCCTGAGGATGAAGCGCCCAGAACTGCAAAAGATGTCTTCCTTCTCATCTACAACCAAAGCCTTAGATAATTATGCCCCAACACACTCCACTTCTCTTTCTAAAGTATGACCCTGTGCATCCAGGATAATAAATAAGAGGGCAGTACGCATGGAAGGGGAAGATGCTCGAGTGACTAGATTTGTCAGTGCTGCACCATAGAGAGACACCCCATGAATCACAGGAGCTACTTGGAAGGACTTGGAGATAAACCTGGCATCCCAAGACTCAGACATCCCAGTTCCAATCTTTGCTCACTCCATCATTTGCCTACCTACCACTTCTATACAATCCTCCTTTCCCTTATCTCCTCCTTTAGAAGTATGTAATAGGCTGTTGATACTCCAGTTGAGAACATAGTGAAAAAGCCTCCAGACTTCTGATTAAGAGGACCTAACCAACAGGATGACCCTGGCCAAGCCACTTTATCTGTCCACTGACAGAGCTCTTCAGGATGAGTACTCCCATCACCAACGCAGATTGAAACCACTCTGTGCCTTCTCATCCAGTATGATTCTTGCCCATGAAGACTTTTCCAACACCATGGAGGCTCTTCTCTGGGTGTTTTATTATTTTGTGACTCTGTGACCAATCTATCTTTTTTTTTCTGATCACATATGTCCTTTCACTTATCACCAACCTCTTTATGGCTTCTGGTTTCATTTGAGGGAAAATGGCACAACGTGGATGTTGTTCATTTCCTCTAGCAGACTATCAATTCATTGGTGGTTGGATATTTTGAATAACAACCAGGGGTTTGCAAAGAAATGATTGTTTAATTTTCAGTGTGAGCATTTACCTGGAAAGGGTCGATGGGTGGTGCAGTCTGTATGACCCTGGGCAAGTCACTTAACCCTGTTTGCCTCAGTTTTCTCATCTGTAAAATGAGCTAGAGAAGGAAACGGCAAACCACTCCAGGATCTTTGCAAAGAAAACTCCGAATGGGGTCAAGAAGAGTGGGACATAACTGAAAACGACTAAACAACAAAGTTTACCTGGAAAATCAGCAAATGCTACAACTCTGGGCTTGAGTCATTGTTTTGTTGCCAAGTGCCTAGACTTTAAGCGAGTGCTAATAATGCAAATTAAACTTAAGAGTGTGTGTTAAACAATGGGGGAAGGGGGGGGTGCCAACAACAACACCACAAATTAATGTTTGTGGATGGCCTAACAATGGAATCACAGAATTTTGGAGTTTGAGGGAACATAATCCGTATCAAAATAGTTCAATAGTTCAAATAGTTTAATCCGCATAAAAAAAAATCCCCAGTACAACATTACCAACAAGTTTTCATCTCACTTTCGCTTGAAGAATTTCAGTGAGAAGATTCCACTCTCTCTAGAGGAATTACATTCCACTTATGGATACCTCTAATTTTTAAGTTACTCCTGGAATTAAACCTAAATCTGCCTTTTTGCAACTTCTTAGCACCTTCTGCCTTCTTTTCTGACACTCCATCACTCTTATTAAAGATACAGGAATCCGCCCAATTCTAAAGAAAATGTATTTCACCTGTTTGGTGGGTTGCCACGGGCCCAATACTCATGGTCAACATTCTTGAAAAGCAAATGCAAGCTGTTGGTAGGATTGTTGTGAGAATCTCTCATGCTTGCACCACGTTGACACAGCCTTGGAGAATTTGGGGTCACCAGGCTTCAGAATAGGATTGTTATACAGGTGTTTCACTTGTAAAGTGTGGCTAATACTTACACTGTCTACTTCATGGGGTTGTTGTCTTTCCCCAGTAGAATGTAAACTACTTGAGGCAGGGAGGCATTTTGTCTTTATATCTTCAATGCCCAGTCCAAGACCTGGCACATAGTAGACACCTAATAAATGTTGAATTCACTGATTATGAGGAAAGCATAATGTACTGGACAGATGTGAGCCACCTGGCTTGTGGGCTTCTCTATCCTCTTCTGCGGCCCCCAGACTAGAAGTGAAGAGAGGCGTGTAGGCAGAAGGGAAACACATCTTGGTCTGGCTTTTCAGGGGACTGCTAAGGGAGCCATTTCCCTTCCCCTGGACTCCCCAGGCTACTATTTGTCTTTATTCCAGCTGGCTGTGGCCCCAGGCCCTTCGATCCCAGCATTTGTGTTCTCCCAGTCTTTTTCTCTCCAGCATCTGTCTCATACTCCATCTGTCCCCTTGGACTTCCTGTCTGTCTATTTGTCTGGGGATCTGACTGTCTCTCTGTCCCAGGTCTGTCTGAAGACTCCTCCCTTCACTCCCTTTTCAGTGGGGACCCCCAATACCAGGCAGCCCCTGGTTCTCCCTCTGCCTGGCCTGCTCTGCTCACCCCTCCTTCCTCCCTCCTCCAGCTCAGCCCTGCTCTCACGTGCTTTCCCAGACACACAGCCGCCCAGTGTGGGCTCTGGCCAAGCCTGTTCCTCTTCCCGATTGCAACAGGCTCCATGGGCAGCTCCCAGCTCTCCTTGTCCCCGCCCCGAGGCCCAGCTCCACTCCCACTTCCTGAGCTAAGCAACAGGAGCCTGGGAGGCCAGGCCTGCCGCCGCTCCCTGCGGCCCCCTGGGGGCATCTCAAGCCCCCCTGCCTTCCCTTCCTTGGGGCTCTGGAACTTGCCTGCCCTGGGTTCCTCTCCAGGCCTCTGCAAGTCCTGACTTCCCCTGCCCCTCCCCTCCCCTCTTGTATGGACGCCATGCGCCTGTCCCCTGCCTGTTCCTTTCAGGGCCTGGTCTCAGGCGCTCTCATCCTAGGCCTCTTTGGGCTTCTGGCTGGCCATCAACTCAGACAGGTGAGGCAAGTAGGGCAAAGGGTGGACCAGGGCAAAGGGAGATGGGATAGGTGGCTCACCCATCTGTCTCTTCTTCCATCCCATCACCTCCTTACCCCCATTGAAGCCCATCTTTGCATCCACCCTCAGGGGCTTCCGGATACAAAGTGTGGAGACAAGGAATATTATGACTCCAAACACCAGGTCTGCTGTGCCCGCTGCCCTCCAGGTGAGAGATTGAGATGGTGGGAGGAAGCTGGGCTGGAGATGACAGAGGATGGCTGGGAGAGGTGGAGGAGAGGGGCTGGTTCCATGCAGAGCAACAGGACTCAAAGATTCCCAAATCCTTCCTCCTCTTCCACCCTCAGTGATCTCACTAACTCAAGAAAGGATCTGGAGGTCAGCCCCAGAAGGGAGTGAGAAGACCAGCAAATGAGGGGAAAACCTGGAGTGGGCATTGAAAAGACGCAGCTAGGGAAGCCCATAGAGAAACAGAGATGATGAAAAATGATAATACCCTGATTTTGTATTATATTTTGCTTCTTTCAAAGAATTGTCACACCTATTAGCTTATATTTTCTTCAAAACACCCTGGGAAGTAGACAGCCTCAGTTTACATCCAGGAAAACTGAGACTTAAAAATGTTATGAGTTAGAAATCAAGCCTCCTTAAGAGTCTTGACTCCAGTATTCATTAACAGTGTCATGAAGTCCTGATGGGCAGACAGACCCAGTCTAATCCATTCCCCACCCTTATGCTCTTCTAGGTATGTTTGTCAGTGATTTCTGTGACGGACGCCGAAACACCACATGTTCTGTGTGCCCGCCAGGCTCCTACAATGAATTCTGGAACCACCTCAGTGGCTGCCAATTTTGCCGTCAATGCGATGAAGGTAAGCTACCACAAGACGGTGCCTGGGAGACATCCTTGGGTGGTAGCGTATGAGATAAAGGGTGGGCAGGTTCTCCTTGGGAACCATGCTACGATTTCTGAGTTTCTCCCCCATCTATCCCAGTGCTAGGCTTTGAGGAGATAACTCCCTGCAATGCCAGCAAGAAAACCCAATGTCGATGCCGCCAGGGCATGTACTGCCCCAAGCAGGGTACCGAATGTGAACACTGTGAGCCGCTTAGCTCCTGCCCGCCGGGCACAGAACCTGAACTGACAGGTCAGAAGTTGTTAAGGGATGAGAGAAAGAGAGAAATGACTGGACACTTGGAGAAGGATTGGGGGTGGCAGCGGAAGGGGTGGAAGGGGTGGAGATGATAAGCCTCAGGGATTCCAGTATACCTTTACTCTCCTGAGTCAAGAAGACACTTTCTATGTGCTGTGCCTAGTGGGTACTCCCAGATGTCCTTCTCCTTGATAGAAAACTCTTCCTCCTATCCCCTATGTTCATCTCATTTATATGATAGCAGGAAGGAGGCCAAAACAGGGAAATTGGTGTAAGTGATGGGGAAACAGCAGGTAAGTGAGCACTTTGTGTCCTGCTTGCTGGGACAGTAAGCCGAGAAATGAACTTGGGAAGCTGATACTGGGAAGTTTTCAGGCTGTGAGAAATCTAACCACAGCTAAGGAACAGGGGAGAGGTTAGAAAGTAACAGGAGGGTATGAAGATGGGTACATGTCAGGGGAGCAAGGTTCTCACACGCTAGGGAGGTAATATCCAGCTCACATCCACCTCTCTTGCCAGATAAGGTTGGAGAGTTTGACAACAGCTGTGTTCCCTGTAGAGTTGGGTACTTCCAGAACCTATCGTCTCCTGACGTTCGGTGTCAACCTCATACCAAGTGAGTGCCTCTTACCCTACTGTAGGAGTCACCAGCCTTCTCTTCCCTCCCTTCCCCACCGAGTAAGAGCTATCTTTAGCCCATCCCATACACTTTGTGGAATTCCTTTATTCTCTCCCCACTATTTCTGGAAGTCACACAGTGTTGGAGGGCCAATGTATACCCGATCCAACACACTAGGTAATAAGAGTGGGCAGAAGGGTTCATGAGTACATGGGCTATTTGCTCTTGTATCCACAGCTGTGAGGCACAGGGCCTGGTAACTGCTGTTCCTGGTACTGCCGAGTCTGATGCCAGATGCCAGATCTCACCTTGGAAGATGCCAGGTGAGAGTCCATGGATTGGGGAATGTGAGGCAGAACCTAAGTCAATACCTTTTTTCCCCATCTAGAGTTGATTCCTCACCTCTAAAATGGGGAGAAGTCAGTGTCCTAATTCTTCCCAAAGTTAGGGCGTGGAAGGGGCAGCAAGGGCTCCTCAAAGAAAAATAGCAAGGTGTATTCTTAACTATTTTATATCGACATACACATATAGATATTATAAAAATGTTACATACAAAATGTAATGTGCCAAATAATTTCCTACTATATATACAGATTTAAATATTATTTTCGTCATCATTATTATCAGATACGATCCTATACGATAACTTATATAAGTGGTCATATTATTTAATATTTGTTGCTACTAGAATCATAGATAGATATAGCTATATCTATATATACATATCTATATCTATCTATATATGTATATAAAAACACTTTTCCGTGGTTATCCTTCCTAGATTTGTGAACTGATAGTTTCATATACTAGGGTATCATAGATCTAATAACAAGAAAGAACCTCAGAAGTCACCTAGTCTAATCCCTTCATTTTACAGATATGGAAACTGAGACCAGGAACGATTAGTGATTTGTCTAATGTTGTTATTGAGTCATTTCAGTCATGTTCAACTCTTTATAATCCTATCTGGGGTTTTCTTGGCAAAGATACTAGAGTGATTTGCCATTTCTTTTTCCAGTTGATTTTACAGATGAGGAAACTGAGGCAAACAGGGTGAAGTAACTTGCCCAAGGTCACACAAGCTGGTATCTGAGGGCAAGATAAGTCTTCCTGATTCTAAGTGCAGCGCTCTATCCACTGAGGTACCTAGGTAGTAATCATCAGAGAAGCAGATTTGAACCTAAGTCCTCTAACTCCAAACCCAGTGCTAATCGGGTTTTTTTTTTTTGGTTTGGTTTGATTTGGTTTTTTTGCCAGGCAATGGGGTTAAGTGACTTGCCCAGGGTCACACAGCTAGTAAGTGTTATATGTCTGAGGCTGGATTTGAACTCAGGTCCTCCTGAATCCAGGGCCAGTACTCTATCCACTGTGCCACCTAGCTGCCCCTGCTAATTAATATTTAATAATTATCAGTAATATAACCTGGAATCTAGAAGAAAATTTAATAATCATTTAATCCAACCCCCTTTTTTTAGAGATGAAGAGAATGAGGCCCTTAGAGCTAAGTAGCTTGTTCAAGGTCAAATATTTAGTTCATATCAGAATTCAGACCAGATCTCTGAATTTCAAGTCTTATTTTCTTCCTAAGTCACGCCACATACATATTCCCTCAGGAATTGAATTCTATTTTCTTTGTTCCCTAAGCCCTGAGTTAGGGTGAGAAATAGCAGGGTAATAAGAAGAGTAGCCAATATTTATGTAGCACTTTAAAGTCTGCAAAGAGCTTTACATATACTATCTCACTAGATCCTCAGGACAACCCTGTGAGGTAGATGCTATTATTGTCATCCCCATTTTACTGGTAAGGAAACAGGGTGAGGGAGATTAAGTGACTTGCCCAGAGTCACAGGGCTAATTAATGTTTGATAACGGGATTCAAATCAGGTCTTTCTGACTCCAAGTCTAACACCATCTATTATGTCAAACTGCCCCCAGAACAATACTCCCCGGTTTTCAATGCTCAAGGTCATAGAGAGAGAGAGAGAGAGAGAGAGAGACAGATAAAGTTTTCTGAGTTTTCAATGTTCAATGTACCCTTGAAAAATACACAAAGTATGGGTTCCCCATTGCCTTTGGGGTGATTCCTCCTGCTAGAGAAGATGGTCATGCTCATAGGAACAGTCACCTCTCTTATCTGAAGTTTGGTCTATAATCCAGGAGCCCTGCCCTTCCATATGCTTTAATATGACCCATAGCAGCCAAGGGAATAGGAATTTTGACTTAGGGGCATGGGGATGTCTGAGAGGGTCCCATTCATCTTTTCTGGAGCTAGAAGGGCCGGAGCATCTTAGATTATTCCTTGACCTGTCTCCATCATAGAAATATGGGGAGGGATGTCTCTTCTATCTTGAAACATCACCACAAAAGGAGGTTCTTTCCATAGCCCTCTTTGGAAGCCTCATTCTGGTACATCACAACATTGAATCCATGTGGTATAGTGGAAAAATTACTGAATTGAATGGCAAATGAGCTCAGTTCAAATCCTGGTTCTGCCACCACCAGCAGAACCTTAGATCAGTCACTTGACCTTCCTACTCCTCAGCCTCCTTATCAGTACAAGAAGGGAGTTGGACTACATGACCTCAAAGGTACCTTCCTTTTTGAAGTCAATTATACTGACCTAGTTTCCTTTTATTCCAATTCAAGGCTATTTTCTCTTTTTCTGTCTTTACGAGGCAGAAGAGGAAAGGGATGGAAAACAGATGCTCACCATCTTTGGTGTGGTTTCTAACAAAGATTCTTCTTGGGATCTCCTGTCTGCTTCTTCTTTTTCAGGCTCAGTAATCTCAATTCTACATTTTTGTCTTACAGGGACAATTTTGCTGCTATCTATCCTGGTCCCCATGGCTTCCATTCTACTCCTTATCATTGTCTTCTCCTGTGCCTGGAAGAGGCACCCTTCTCTTTGCCAGAAGCTGGGTAAAAGGGAGTAGTGCTAGGAGAGAGAAAGGATTTGGGACCTCTGATCTGGATAGATGCATCAGTGAAATGTCCCATTTCCTCAGTGCACCCCTCCATTCTCCTATACCCTCAGTGGTCCAATTCACCTTCGCCATTTTACTTTTCATAAGGTTGGAGGGGGGAAGGGACTTCTTGTGGCCTCTAGGGAGACAGAACTAGGGATCAAGATGGGGAGAAAGGTGGAAGGTATGGCATGTGGGAACTTTGGAAGAGGATGGGGTCTGGGAAGAGGAACAAGGGACCTTACATCATTTTTGTTTTCATTGCAGGGTTACTACTCAAGAGGAGACCAGAGGTAAAGGGGACCAAAGAGAATGTAGGAGGGAGGCAGAGACTGAGGGTTCTTGCAGCATGGAAAACAGAATAGAAGGGCTAGGAGTAGGGGAGGGAAATATGCAGCCTGAAGTGGAAAGACATTTTGGGCAGCCTTGGGGGGAGGAAGTCTGTTCTGCTCAAGATCGGGCTGCAAGGGGACATAGAAACTATTGCAGTCTTAAGGCAAAGTCATTAGTTGGGCTCTCTTTCCTACAGAGAGGGGATCTGAATCCTCCCCCAAACCAGGATGTCTCTAGAACAAATCAGAAGTTCCCTGACTTGGTAGAACGACTCCTAGGAGATGCAGTTCTGGCCCCCCAATGAACGTCTTCTCCCACCAGCAGTGGAAACAGAAATCCTACATCAACAAAGCTCCCTGGGCCAGGGCAGAGAACAAGGCACAGAGTCTGGGGAGCAGGGCCAGGAGCTGCCCCATGGTAAATATGGGGAGACAGGAGGAGTAAGGGATCAAAGATAGGCTATGGAACACAGGGTGTAGGAAGAGAGGGGAATAGCACATGGAGAGGGGTGCTGAGCTGGTCAATATCCTTAAACAGACAAATTCAGAGAAAAAGAGACAGCTAGAGATAATCACATGCAGAAACTGCTTTATTCAAAGACAGCTAGTCAAAGGAACAAAATAAAAGGTTAAATGTCTAAAAAGTAGAAGAAAGAAGGAAAGATATCCGAAAAGAAGGGATTTCTGAGTGGGGTGAGGCTAAAATTGGAGAGAGACCTTCTTTAGAGGCTGTACTCCTACCTTACTTTTTGCCCCTTTTTCACCAGGTACCAATGGTATCCATGTGACAGGTGGCTCAGTCACTGTCACAGGCAACATCTATATCTATAACGGACCAGTCTTGGGAGGAGCACGGGGGCCTGGAGACCCTCCACTTCCCCCTGAACCCCCATACCCAATCCCAGAGGAGGGGACCCCAAATTCCCTAGGCTTCAGTGGACCACACCAAGAGGATGGCAAGGCCTGGCATCTAGCTGAGACTGAGACCCTGGGATGCCATGACCACTAGCTGTGGATGAAGGGATTACAATTTGCTGACTATTCCTGAAAGTGCCTGAGGGAAATGGAGAGGAATCAGAGCACTATCTCACCTGAGGCAATCTTGCTTCCACAGGATTTATAGGGGGTCTGACTTCAAGCCCTCTGGGAAGGCAGAGTTACCACTGGGTTGAATCAGAGACACTGCCAAAGGTGAAGTGTCTACTGTGGGTATTGGACCGGTGTAGGATATCCTGCTAAGGGACGTTAGCACCTATTAGGGCATCAAAGGGCATTCTAGACCTCATCAGGCACTTGTCCATACCAGCCACAGATGCTGTGAGGGCATCTGATGCCAATTCCTGTCTGCCTAGTGGTCCTGCCACATATACCACCTCCACCATCCAGCACAGAATGGATACTGGCCTTGAGGCATTCCCACCCCATGACTGTTGGGATGATGGAACTTTTCAAGCACACCAATCCCAGCCCCTAAGCCTCAGGGACCCAAGGGGTGGGATAAGTGCCTCAGTAAGTACCTCTCCAGGGACTTTGGCAGAGCTAGCCTGGAAATGAGGTCAAGTGGAAGAACTCTCCTAGAAGAAGAGGTGTCCCAGTAAAGTGGGGGTAGGGGTTAGATTTGGGGTAGGGTTTTGTAGGGAGGAGGGAAATGATGGGCATATTTATAAATTGTTATGTAACCACTTGGGAAATAAAGAGATGTCTGAAAGCCTGAAAGATTTTATTTATTCATTTAGGATTTAGAAAAATACTGATCGAACAGATAATTCTCTAAGGACACCCTATAAAGGCACAGGATAGAAGGTTAAACACAGGGAAAACATTTCTTCTGATGAGTAAATGTGGCTCACAGATTTGCCTTTCAGATAATCTCGATAAGGACGGAACTTGGAATATTTAGACGAACGGATTTTTAACCTCTTCATTGGACTATGTTTCTTAAGTATTTGAATGTCATAAGTGAGTTTTTGACAGGTGCTAGATGTCAGTTAATTTTCATATCCTCTAACAAGTGCTTACGGGTACAAATAATCCTACGTTATGGGTTGCAGTGGGATCCATATGCTTTACATGTCAGATTTCAAAAGGACAAGGTCTTTTGACACTTAAGAGTTAAACCTGTATTCTTGCCCACAGAGAAAGCCAATCCACTTCAGCAAAGACTTGTGCAACAGGGGTTACCTATAGGTAGAACCAATATTTTGTTTTCCCCAGGAAAGAAGCAGCCTTGAATCTTCTCAAATTCTCATTCTAATGATTAGTTGAGACTACTTTCACCTGTAAAAAAAAAAAAAGCTAGAGCAGATGGTATCACCAGACCTCTTCCATAAAAGAATGACTGCTTTGAATTCAATAAATGCTTGATTTGAATTGAAATGAATAGAATTAAACTGAAGTACTGTATCCAAATGGAGTTACCATGATGAGGTACATACAAAATATCTACCTCAATAGATGAATATGATTGAACTTGATGGATGGAGTTGTTTACCAATAACAACTATTAACATGGTTGTTTAAAAACTAGTTAGTCATTACAGCTTACCATTAGTTACTTAGGTGAGTCTGGCAACAGTTTATAGAAGCAAGATCTGCCTTTTGCAGGCTAGACACTTAGCTCCTTCTTAAAAGATACTTAAGACTTAATTGGTTCAGAAGACTAAGATTCAAATTATCAATCTAACTTCCTGATCACCAGAGTCCAAAGCCAGTCAAAGGCTTCCTCCTTATTTTAACACATGCTTCTGAGCCGTGGGGGCCGCCATAGCAATTGTGGAGACAGGGAATCTGCCCAGCTGCACCAATGCTCTATCCTTGTGGAATATTCTTTCCATGTCATTGATAAATAAGCTTCCTTGTAACCATTGAATGATCTAAATGTATTTAATTTCATTTTAATTCCTAATCTGAACTGGCCTCAGTCAGACATGGCCTGGAACATTTGGTGTTAATTATCAGGATTGAATGAGAATGACTTCATGGTTGAAGTGGAGGAAGGCAACATGGAGAAAGAGGAGAACTGGGTGATGAAGTGCAAAGTTTCACAACCTGACATTTCACAACCTCTGGCTGTGATTCTGATTGGAAGCTCCACTGACCCATGGGATAGAGTAAACACACAGGTTTACGTGTTTGGGGGTCCTTTTAAGTACTATGTCCTGACAATAATAAATGTTATAAAATGCCATTTGGCAAATTTGTATAACTTTGTATCTGGGGCTAATTGTGATTTCTAGGCCTACCAGCTGTGACAGGCAAGGCCCTTCTTGAAAACTGTCTGAAAAATGGGCTTAATGAACTACTTAGAACTTTTTAATATGGTATCTGGGAAGCCACTGAAAGTAGTAGTATGGGGGGGGGGGTGCAGAGCCAAGATGGCAGAGTAAAAGCAGTGACTTGCTTGAGCTGTCCCCCAAATACCTATAAAAAATGGCTCTAAACAAATTCTAAAGCAGTAGAACCCACAAAAAGACAAAGTGAAACAAATTTCCAGCCCAAGACAACCTGGATAGTTGATCAGAAAGGTATATCACACTGGGCTGGGAGAGGAATGCAGTTTGGCGGGGCACACGGCCACAGCGAACCTCGAGCAAACCTCAGAGGGCTGAATTGTGGGCAGCTGTGGTGGTTTCCAGACTTCTCAACCCACTAATGCCAAAGACAATTTAGAAGGTCAGTGGGAAAAGTCTGTGTCTATGGTAAGAGAGAAGTGTGAGGTTCCAGCCCCAGTTCCCGAGCTCAGCCCAGGGGCAGTGGCTGCCTCCTGACTTCCGGCCCACAGACTGAGGGGAAATAGGTGGCTGATCAGAGGGGGATTGCAGGTGCAGGATTCTCTTGCTTTGCCCGTGCTTGGATCTGGGTCACAGTTCTGGGTGGTGGTCCTGGGGCGAGGAGGAGTACTGGCATGGTGGAACTTGCAGTGGTGGAGCTTGCAGTGGTAGTGGAGATAAAATCTTCCTCACAGTTCCAAGACAGAAAAGAGTGCTTGTGGTCACTCATAAACCAGAGCACAGGCCAGGAAAGGAGTAAACACCTCGCCCTTGATCATAGCACCTTGGAAGAACTGAAAATTTTCAGGTCCCTAAAAGTATCTCTGAAAACAGCTGCACAAAACCACCAAATCTTGGGGCAGTACATTCTCCACACTGGAAGCAGACTCCTACCTTAACAAAGAGTTTATAACTCAAATAATTAATTGGCTGGGATCATGAGCAAGCAGCGCAAAAAGAATCAGACCATAGAATCTTTCTTTGGTAACAAAGAAGATCAAAATATACAACCAGAAGAAGACAACACAGTCAAAGCTCCTACATCCAAAGCCTCCAAGAAAAATATGAATTGGTCCCAGGTCATGGAAGAGCCCAAAAAAGATTTTGAGAAGCAAGTAAGAGAAGTAGAGGAAAAACTGAGAGTGATGAAAGAAAATCATGAAAAACAAGTCAACAGCTTGCTAAAAGAGACCCAAAAAAATACTGAAGAAAATAACACCTTAAAAAATAGCCTAACCCAAATGGCAAAAGAGGTCCAAAAAGCCAATAAGGAGAAGAACCTAAAAAAAACAAAATTGGCCAAATGGAAAAGGAAGTCCAAAAGCTTACTGAAGAAAATACTTCCTTAAAAATTAGAATGGAGCAATTGGAAGCTAGTGACTTTATGAGAAATCAAGACACTGTAAAACAAATCCAAAAGAATGAAAAAATAGAAAACAATGTGAAATATCTCATTGGAAAAACAACTGACCTGGAAAATAGATCCAGGAGAGAGAATTTAAAAATTATTGGACTATCTGAAAGCCATGATCAAAAAAAGAGCCTAGACATCATCTTTCAAGAAATTATCAAGGAAAACTGCCCTGATATTTTAGAACCAGAGGGCAAAATAGAAATTGAAAGAATCCACCGATCTCCTGAAAGAGATCCCCAAAGGAAAACTCCTAGGAATATTGTAGCCAAATTCCAGAGTTCCCAGGTCAAGGAGAAAATATTGTAGCAGCCAGAAAGAAACAATTCAAGTATTGTGGAAACACAATCAGGATAACACAAGATTTAGCAGCTTCTACATTAAGGGACCAGAGGGCATGGAATATATATTCCAGAGGGCAAAGGAGATAGGATTACAACCAAGAATCACCTACCCAGCAAAACTGAGTATAATCCTTCAGGGGAAAAAATGGTCATTCAGTGAAATAGGGACTTTCAAGCATTCTGATGAAAAGACCAGAGCTGAATAAAATTTGACTTTCAAATACAAGACTCAAGTGAAACATGGAAGAGGCAAACTGGAAAGAGAAATCATAAGAGACTTATTAAGGTTGAACTGTTTACATTCCTGCATGGAAAGATGGTATTTGTAACTCATGAGTCCTTTGTCAGTATTAGGGTAGTGGGAGGGAAAAAAATTATATGTATGTATAGACAGATAGATAGATAGACGGCATAGGGTAAGTTGAAGATGAAGGGGTGATATTCAGAAAATAAAATTAAGGGGTAAGAGAGGATTATACTAGGAGAAGGAGAAAGGGAGAGGTAGAATAGGGTAAATTATTGCACATGAAACAGAAAAGAAAAGGCTTTTACAATGGAGGGGAAATGGGGGAAGGTGAGAGGGGATAAAGTGAATTTTATTCTCATAGGATTTCGCTTAAGGAGGGAATACCATACACAATGGGGTATGGAAATCTATCTTACCCTACAGGAAAATAAGGGGGGAAGGGGACAAGAGAGCAGGGGTTGATAGAGGGGAGGGCAGATTAGGGGAGGGGATAATCAGAAGCAAACACTTCTGAGGAGGGACAGGGTCAAAAAGGAGAATAGAATGAATGGAGGGTAGGATAGGATGAAGGGAAATATACTTAGTTTTTCACAACATGATTACTGTGGAAGTATTTTGCATGACTACACATATATAACTTGTATCGAGATGCCTGCCTTTTCAGTGAGGGTGGCTGGGGAGGAAGGAAGGGAGAAAATTTGTAACCCAAAGTTCTAAAACACATGTTAAAAATTTTTTTTTAATTTTTTTAAAAAAGTAGTGCTATGTGAAATTTCTTGGGATTCTTTGGTGCAAAGCACTGGGTGAGTCATTGAAAGGAAATGTGCTCAGAGCCCTAGAGGCTGTTCCAAAATTGGAGATAAAGAACACGTGAACAAATGCATCCCAGTTGATTTCTAGAGGTGGAGAGGGGGACTGTGTCAGAAGAAAGGATAGAAAACTTCCCCCTCTTGCTCCATATCTGGTAACTCTAATGCTTTCTCACACACACACTGGCCTAGATGACCCCAAGACTGGACTGCTTTGTGTCCCTTTCTCTAAGCATGGGTAGATGAAGAACAATCCTGAGATGGACATTCCTAACCTTGGTAGCACTCTTGTGGCTTCAAGAGATCAAGAGTTCCTGGGTCTCCTAGTCAGAAGTGACTGGTAGCAGAAATTT